AAACAAAAGCAAAGGTGAACTTTTGGGACTTCATCAAGGTCAAAAGATTCTGCACAGCAAAGGAAACAGTCAACAAAACAAAGAGGCAACCCACAGAATGGGAGAAGATATTTGCAAATGACAGTACAGGCAAAAGATTGATATCCAGGATCTATAAAGAACTCCTCAAACTCAACTCACACAAAACAGACAATCATCAAAAATTGGGCAGATGCTATGAACAGACAATTCTCCAGTGAAGACATACAAATAATTATCAGTCACATGAAAAAATGTTCATCATCACTAGCCATCAGGGAGATTCAAATCAAAACCACATTGAGATACCACCTTACACCAGTTAGAATGGCTAAAATTAGCAAGACAGGAAACAATATGTGTTGGAGAGGATGTGGAGAAAGGGAACCCTCTTACACTGTTGGTGGGAAAGCAAGTTGGTGCAGCCACTTTGGAGAACAGTGTGGAGACTCCTCAAGAAATTAAATACTGGGTATTTACCCCAAAGATACAGATGGACTGAAAGAAGGGCCATCTGAACCCCAATGTTTATAGCAGCAATGGCCATGGTCGCCAAACTGTGGAAAGAACCAAGATGCCCTTCAACGGACGAATGGATAAGGAAGCTGTGGTCCATATGCACTATGGAGTATTATGCCTCCATCAGAAAGGATGAATCCTCAACTTTTGTAGCAACATGGATGGGACTGGAAGAGATTATGCTGAGTGAAATAAGTCAAGCAGAGAGAGTCAATTATCATATGGTTTCACTTATTTGTGGAGCATAACAAATAGCATGGAGGACAAGGGGAGATGGAGAGGAGAAGGGAGTTTGGTGAAATTGGAAAGGGAGTTGAACCATGAGAGACTATGGACCCTGAAAAGCAACCTGAGGGTTTTGAAGGGGTGGGGAGTGGGAGGTTGGGGGAACCAGGTGGTGGGTATTGGAGAGGGCACGGATTGCATGGAGCACTGGGTGTGGTACAAAAACAATGAATACTGTTATGTTGAAAATAAATTTTAAAAAATGATTTAAAAAATTAAAAATTTTTTTTAAAAAAGAAAAAAAAAGAACATGTTCTGCTTTTTATTTGGGGCATATGATCTGACCTTGAGGAGAACAACCATGATCTTTCTGTTATCCAAATTTATTTCCAATGACTTTATGAATAAGTGACTATATGTCAGCTCTGGAGTAATTCAATTTTTGGGAGAAATTGAAAGGCATGCAACTCTACAAGGAAATGGTGATCTTGAGCCACATGACCAGCAGGACAGGGAGCACTCCTGTGAAGTATCCTCTGATCATGTAGGTGGAAAAGGTATGAAATGGATGACGCTGGTATTGTTCATTTTCCATCCCATAGCTTTTGTGACAAATATCAGGAAAATGTAATAATTTTTGCAAAAAGTAAGAGTCATATTAGCAGGTCTCATTGGAAGTTTTCAAGTAAAAACAGGAAGATAACACAGTGGCAAAACATAGAAGAGACTAAGCAATGCTTCACCTCAATGATTAAATCCCCTTCAGTGTAGACACCAATCTTCTGTGCTTCAATAAATAGATGTACAGCATGAAAAAGAAATATTTTGGATAGTAATAAAATGGGTAGTTTGAAAGTTTGCAACCTCTTGCATCTTATTTTTTTTATTTCTGTTTCAATTCCAGTGTAATGAACATACAGTTTTATATTAGTTTCAGGTGTACAATACGGTCATTCAGCAAATCTATACATTACTCCATGCTCACCATGATGCATGTACTCTTAATCCCCACCACCTGTTTCACCTTTCCCCCTACCTACCTCCCCTCTGGCAACCACCACTTTGTTTTCCATATTGTAGATCTGATTTTTTTTGTTTGTCTCTTCTTCTTTGTTTTTATTGTTGTTGTTGCTGCTACTGCTGCTGCTGCTTAAATTCCGCATATGAGTGAAATCATGCAGTACTTATCTTTCTCTTACTGTCTGATTTCACTTAACATTATATTCTCTTAGATTCATCCATGTTGTAAATGGTTACATCAAAATAGAAAACTGCTCAGCAAAGGAAACAATCAACAGAACAAAAAGACAACTTATTTAATGGCAGAAGATACTTGCAAATAATACATACAATAAGGAATTACTATCCAAAATACATAAAGAACTTATAGATGTCAACATCAAAAAAAATTTAATAACAATTCAATTATTCAATTAAAAATGGCCAGAAGAGGGGCACTTGGGTGGCTCAATGGGTTTGGAGTCTGCCTTTGGCTTGGGTCTTGAACCTGGGGTCCTGGGATCGGGCCCCACATGGACTCCCTACTAGTGGGGATCCTGCCTCTCCCTCTCTCTCTGCCTCTTCCTTTGTTTTTGTATGCTCTTGCTCTCTTTGTCTCTGTCTCTCTCTCTCTCTTGCTCACTCTGTCTCTCAAATAAGTAAATACATTTTTTTAAAAAAATGGCCAGGAGACATGAACAGATGTTTCTTTGGGGAAGATATGCAATGGCCTACAGACACATGAAGAAATGCTCAACATCACTCATCACCAGGTAAATGCAAATCAAGATCAAAATGAAACATCACCCTACACCTGTCAGAATGGTTAAAACTAACCACACAAGAAACAACAAATATTAGGAGGATGTGAAGAATGAGGAGCCCTCTTACATTGCTGGTGGGGACTCAAAGTGGAGCAGCCACTCCAGAAAACAGTATGGACTTTCCTAAAAGTTAAAAATAGAACTCCCTTACAGTGCTTTTGGTATTTATCCAAAGAATACAAACATAGTGATTCAAAGTGGCATATGTGCCCCAATGTTTATAGAAGCAATGTCCACTATAGCCAAAGTATGGAAAGAGCCCAGAGGCCCTCAAAAGATGAATGGATAAAGAAGAGGTGATACTTATTTGTGGACATAACAAATAACATGAAGGACATGGGGAGATGGAGAAGAGAAGGGAGTTGAGGGAAATTGGAAGGGGAGGTGAACCATGAGAGACTATGGACTCTGAAAAACAATCTGAGGGTTTTGAAGGGGCAGGGGGTGGGAGGTTGGGGGAACCAGGTGGTGGGTATTAGAGAGGGCACGGATTGCATGGAGTACTGGGTGTGGTGCAAAAACAATGAATACTGTTACACTGAAAAGAAATAAAAAATTTTAAAAAAGAATTCAAGAGAAAAAAAGATGAACATAAAGGAAGGGAAAGAGAAATAAAATAGTGAAAACAGAGAGGGAATCAAATTATAAGAGACCCTTAACTACAGGAAATAAACTGAGGGTTACTGGAGGGAGGACTCTGGGGGGAGGGAGGACTCTGGGGGGAGGGAGGACTCTGGGGGGATGGAGTAATTGGGTGATGGACATTAAGGATGGCAATTGAACTAATGGCACTGGGTGTTGTATGCAACTGATAAATCACCAAATTCTACCTCTGAAACTAATAATACAGTATGTGTAAATTAAGTTGAATTTAAATTTTAAAATATATCCAAAATATATAAAGAATTTATACAAGTTAACACCAAAAAATTAATAATTTGATTTTTAAATGTCCAGAAAGGATGAACAGACATTTCCTCAGAGAAGACATACAGATGATCAACAGACAGTTGAAAAGATGCTCTCAAGACTCAACAGGGAAATGCAAATCAAAATCCCAATGAGATATCACCTTACACCAGTCAGAATGGCTAAAATTAACCACACAGGAAATAACAGTTGTTGATGCAATATGGACAACCTCTTGTATTGTTGAGAATACAACATTGTTGATGAGAATGCAGCCTGGTGCAGCCACTCAGAAAGCAGTGTGGAAGTTCCTCAAAAAATTGAAAATATAACTACCCTATGATCCAGTAATCACACTACTGGGTATCTACTCAAAGAGAATGCGTCCTTTTATTTGCAGTTGTCTCAGATACTAAAAACATATAAGGTCAATCTATTTATTCAAATTTGTCTTTCTATGTAGACTCCACTGGAGACATACATTTGCTAATAAGCATTTGCCAGTGGCTGTGGTAGTCATTCTGGACACTTAGGTAAATAATAGAATAAAACAAGGAGACTAGTTACAAAACACAGTAGGATGTTTGTAGAGAAAGTACCTGACATTAAGCTTTTGATTTCTGAGTCATCTATTTCAAGGACAAATATATTGAATAAACATATTGTCAGGTGTTGGATGCTATTACCAGATAAGCAGTCGGGCTGCCTCTGGGCATGAAGTACCTCTTCAGAAAGCCGTGGGTAACCTCGGTCAGTAACCTACTGACACATGTGTGACCCTGCTTTCCCCTTTGATGCCAGAATAGGGCTCTTATATTTTAAACTGGTCAATAAAGAGTGAACCACTCTGCCCATGGACCCCAATAAAGTCAGTGTCCCTATTTGTATACTTTCACTCACTCTGAATCTCTCTCTGAACCCCCCCAGACCTTTCTGTATCTGTCTTCCAGGACCTGTGAGTAATAAACCTAATTTTGTTAGAATTCTCTGATGGGTGTTGCTGAGACATGTCTGGAAATCACAATGAGGATCCAAGAACCTGTGTAGCCTCAGCAGAGGCTCTGGTCAGGGAACCATCAGTGGGAATGTCCACAAGCTCATGGGTGCAAGGGTGTGTCCAGGCTTTCCTAGTCTAAACATCCCTGTCAGTAGCCTGACTTAAGGGGAGCAGTGTTAGAATCCACATTATCAGGAAGAGAAGTCAAAGTAGTGATGTAAGACAATTGACAGACTTGGGGCACCTGGGTGGCTCATTTTGTTGAGCATCTAACTCTTGACTTCAGATCAGGTCAGGATCTCAGGGTCCTTAATCAAGCCACATCTCAGCCTTCACACTCACCAGGGAGTCTGCCTGAGGATTCTCTCCCCAATCATGTTCTCACAGAAAAACAACTAGAAGGAGCAGATGTTACTTCCACAACCTGATCTAAAAGTAGCAGTTGCTGGCTCTGAAGCTGTGAACCCAACAATCAATGGACATTTCTTCAGGCCCACGACAATTGGCCCTCATATCATTGGAACCCAGATAAGTCTTTTCAGAGCTCTCTTTATGTCTCTGTTCCTCAGGCTGTAGATGAAAGGGTTCAGCATGGATGTGACCACTGTGTACATCACTGAGGCTACTGCATTTGTGTATGAACTCTGAGGAACAGCAGAGCTAAGGTAAACTCCTAGGGCCGTACAATAAAATAAGGAGACAACTGAGAGGTGAGATGCACAGGTGGAAAATGCTTTATACTTGCCCTGAGATGATGATATTCTGTGTATGGAGGAAATAATTTTAGAGTAAGAATAAATGATCCCAGCTAGGGGGAAACCAGCCAGCAGGACAGCTGCAAAATGCATCAACATGTCATTAAGAAAGGCATCTGAACAGGCAAGTTGGACCACCTGATTGATTTCACAGAAAAAGTGGGAGATTTGTACCTCTCTACAGAAGGACAGCAAGAACACCATTAAGCTTTGTAATAAGGAATTCAGGGTACTCATCATCCAGGATGCCAGAACCAGCAGTACACAGTAACTTGGATTCATGATGACCATGTAGTGCAGGGGGTGACATATGGCCACAAAACGGTCATAGGCCATCACAGCTAAGAGAAAGTCATCTAATCCAGCAAAGAGTAAGAAAAAGAATATCTGTGTGATGCAGCCTTTATAGGTGATGACTTTGCTCTGAGTCTGGATGTTCCACAGCATCTTGGGGATAGTGGTGGAGGTGAAGCAAATGTCTATAAAGGACAGGTCGGCAAGGAAGAAGTACATGGGGGTGTGGATCTGGGAGTCTGAGCTGACGGCCAAGATGATGAGCAGGTTTCCAAACACAGTGGTCAGGTACATGGAGAGAAAAAGCCCAAATATTAGGGGCTGCAGTTCTGGTTCCTCTGATAATCCGAGAAGAATAAATTCTGAAATTTGTGTATCATTTTCTGGTTCCATGTGGTAGAGGTGACTAGCAGGAAACAAAAAGTAACGTGACTAATTTTCTCAAAACAAACATTACAAATATCATTGAAGGTCTACAATTTTTGTTTTGCAATCAAAAGTCAATATCCCCAGATTTATATGGAACTTGTCCCCCATTGAGACTCCCCATGCCAGCTCTGAATGAGAATAGGCATCCCACACTTGACCTTTTCCCCAAGTATTCATGTATTCTATACTTGTAATGAGAATTCTGTCACACATTTGAGAAATAAACTTGAGTACTGAATAACCTCCAGGAAAAGAGTATAGGTGTCAAGAAACGAGTGTCTGCACAGTTCACTAATGGAGAAGATAAGCAGATAAAAGTTCAGATGGAGCATCAGAAGATGACAGGTGCTCTGAAAAAAAACCTGGTAAAAGGGAGAGTGGATGCCTGTGTCATTTTTTACTACTTGCTCTACTACTTTTTACTACTACTTGAAGACCAGTACACATTTATACAGAGGCCTCAAGGAGGAGATACTAGGGCACACAAGGTTATCCAGGGAAGTGTGTGCCCATCAGAGGGAACAACCAGTGCAAAGTCACTGAGAAAAGACTTAGGCTTTTTTTAATTACTTTTTAAAAATTTGAGTGTGACCCTGGTAGACTGAGAGTGCACTGGGGCATGTCATACATACATCCACGCTTTACCCCCAGACATAGTTTAGATGGGAACAGTAGGCACAAATACATACTGCATGAAGGAAGGAGAGAATCTACTCATAGAAGTTGCCAGTGATAAGAAAGAATAGAAGCAAGGAGTTATTAGCACAGGAACAGAGGATGTAAGAAAATATGTAGGAATACTTTCCATATTCTGAGATTGGACCATTTCTGGGGTCAGACTGTGGTTTCTAAGAATAAAATAGAAGAGAATGAATAAGCCACAATAGAAAATAACAGAGTGCATTGTATATAATCAGGGTGCATACCAACTCATTTTGTGTTTTTCCTCCTTGAGCTGTATGTGTACATCAGTGTCTATGTGCAAGTGTCTATTTCTGTGTTGCACACATGCCAGGTCACAGATAAAAGGAATGTTTTCCTCTGGGATATAGTCTAAAGGTTCATATCCATGGCACTAAATGCAAAAGTGATTTTTTAAATAATATTTACTTTTTATTTTATAATGTTATTTTAGTCACCATACAGTATGTAATTAGTTTTTGAGGTACTGTTCCATGATTCATTGTTTGCATCTAACACCAAATGCTCCATGTAATACATGCCCTCCTTAACACCCATTACCAGGCTAAGGCCCACACCCCCTCTGAAAACCTTCGTTTTTTTCCTGGAGATCATAGTCTTTCATGGTTTGTTTCCCCCTCTGATTTCCCACCCTTCATTTTTCCCTTCCTTCTCCTAATGTCCTCCATGCTATTCATTATATTCCTTATATAAGTGAAACCATATGTTAACCATCTTTCTCTGTTTGACTTATTTCACTAGTATAATCACCTCCAGTTCCATCCATGTCAATGCAAATGGTGGGTATTCATCCTTTCTGATGGCTGAGTAATATTCCATTGTACGTTTGGACCACATCATCTTTATCCATTATTCTGTGGAAGGGCATCTCAGCCCTTTCCAGATTTTGGTTATTGTGGACATTCCTGCGATGAATATTGGTGTGCATATGGCCCTTCTTTTCACTACATCTGTATCTTTGGGGTAAATACACAGTAATGAAATTACCAGATCATAAGGTAGCTCTATTTTTAACTTTTGGGGGAATATCCATACTGTTTTCCAAGGTGGCTGTAACACCTTGCATTCCCACCAACAGTGTAAGAAGGTTTTCCTTTCTCCACAACCTCCCCAACATTTGTTATTTTTTGCCTTGTCAATTTCTGCCATTCTAACTGGTGTAAGTGGTATCTTCGTGTGGTATTTTTTAAAGTTTTTAATTATTTATTTATTTGACAGAGAGAGACACAGTGAGAGAAGGAACACAAGCAGGGGGAGTGGGAAAGGGAGAAGCAGACTTCCCACTAAGCAGGGAGACCTATGCGGGGCTCGATCCCAGGACCCTGGGGTCATGACCTGAGCTGAAGGCAGACTTAATGACTGAGCAAACCAGGTGCCCCTCTCAATGTGGTTTTGATTTTAATTTCCCTGATTGCTAGTGATAATGAACATTTTTTCAAGTGCCTGTTAGCCATTTGTATGTCTTCATTAGAGAAGTGTCTGTTCATGTCTTCTGCCCATTTTTTTGACATGATTATCTGGTTTTTGGCGTGTTGAGTTTGAGAAGTTCTTTAGAGATCTTGGCTATCAGCCTTTTTTCTGTACTGTCATTTGAGAGTATCTTCTCCCATTCTGTAGGTGGTCTCTGTTTTGTTGACTGTTTCCTTTGCTGTGCAGAAGCTTTTGATCTTGATGAAGTCCCAAAAGTTCATTTTCACTTTCGTTTTCCTTGTCTTTGGAGATGTGTCTTGAAAGAAGTTACTGTTGTCAAGGTCAAAGAGGTTACTGCCTATGTTCTCCTCTAGGATTTGGATGGATTCCTGTCTCACATTGAGGTCTTTCATCCATTTTGAGTTTATCTTTGTGCATGCTGTAAGTGCATGGTCAAATTTCATTCTGTATATAGCTGTCCAATTTTCCCATCACAATCAATCAAAGAGATTTTTTTCCACTGGATATTCTTTACTGCTTTGTCAAAGATTAGTTGACCATAGAGTTGAGAGTCCATATCTGTGCTCTCTATTCTGTTCCATTGGTCTACGTGTCTGTTTTTGTGCCAGTATCATGCTGTCATGATGACCACAGCTTTGTATTAAATCTTGAAGTCAGGCAATGAGATGCACCAGCTTTGTTTTTCTTTTTGAACATTTCCTTGGCAATTCGGGGTCTTTTCTGGTTCTATACAAATTTTAGCATTGTTTGTTCCACCACTTTGAATAATACCAATGATATTTTGATCGAGATGTCATTGAAATTATAGATTGCTCTAGGCAACATAGACATTTTAACAATGTTTATTCTTCTGATTCATAAGCTTGGAATGTTTTTCCATCTTTTTGTGTCTTCTTCTATTTCTTTCATGAGTGTTCCATAGTTCCTCGAGTATAGATCTTTTATCTCTTTGGTCAGTCTTATTCCAAGGCATCTTGTGGTTTTGGGAGCTATTTTAAATGGGATCAATTCTCTAATTTACCTTTCTATAGTTTCACTGTCAGTTTATAAGAATGCAACAGATTTCTGTGCATTGATCTTGTATACTGCCACATTACTGAGTTGCTGTGCGAGTTCTAGTAATTTGAGGGTGGAGTATTTGGATTTCCCACATAAAGTATCAAGTCATCTGTGAAGAGAGTTTGACTTCTTCTCTGCCAGTTCCAATACATTTTATTTCTTTTTGTTGTCTGATTGCTGAGGCTAGGACTTCTAGTACTGTGCTGAACAATAGTAGCAAGAGTGGGCATTGTTTCTGTGTTCCTGATCTTAAAGGAAAGGCTCTCACCTTTCCCCATTGAGAATGATATTTGCTATTTTCTTTTCATAAGTGGTTTTTATGAAATTGAGGAATGTTCCCTCTATCTCTATACTCTGAAGAGTTTTAATCAGGAAAGAATGTTGTATTTTTTCAAATGATTTTTCTACATCAGATGAGAAGATCATATGGTTCTTGACTCTTCTTTTATTAAAGTAATCTATCACATTGATTGATTTGCAAATGTTGAACCACACTTTTATCCCAGGTATAAATCCCACTTGGTTGTGATGGGTAATTCTTTTAATGTACTGTTGGATCCTATTAGCTAGGGTCATGTCTCAACTGATACCAAAAAATTGAGATTACTCCTTGCATATTCTCAGACCACAGTGCTTTGAAACTGGAACTCAGTCACAAGAAAAAATTGGAAGGAATTCAAACAATTTTAAAATGAAAACTATCCTACTTAAGAATATGTGGGTCAACCAGAAAATCAAAGAAGAATTTAAACAATTCATGGAAACCAATGGGAACAAAAACACATCAGTCCAGAACCTATGGGATAATGCAAAGACGGTCCTAAGGGGGAAATAGATAGCCATCCAAACCTCACTCAAAAATGTAAAAAATCCAGAATACACAGTCTAACTTTACACATTAAAGAATTTGAGAAAGAACAACAAATAAAGCCTAAGCCAAGCAAGAGAAGAGAAATAAGATTAGAGCAGAGATCAATGAATTAGAAACCAGAAATACACTAGAGCAGATCAACGAAACTAGAAGCTGGTTCTTTGAAAGAATTAATAAGATAGATAAACCACTGGCCAGACTTACCCAAAAGAAAAGACAAAGGACCCAAATTAATAAAATCATGAATGAAAGGGGGAGAGCATGAATAACACTAAGAAAATTTACAAACAATTTTAAGAACATATTATGAGCAATGATAAGCCAAAAAATTAGTCAATCTGGAAGAAATAGATGCATTCCTGAAAACTTATAAACTACTAAGGCTGAAACAGGAAATGGCAGAAAATATGTACAGACCCAAAACCAGCAAGGAAATTGAAACAGTAATCAAAAATTTCAAAAAACTTAAAAAAAAAAGTCCAGGGCCAGTTGGCTTCCCAAGGCTATTCCACCAAACATTTAATGAAGAAATAGTACCTATTCGACTGAGACTCTTTCAAAATATAGAAATGGAAGGAAAGTTTCCAAAATTGTGCTATGGAGCTAGCATTACCTTGATATACTAACCAAAGACCCTATTAAAAAGGAGAATTACAGACCAATACCTCTGATGATTATGGATGTCAAGTTTCTCACCAAGATATTATCCAATAGGATCCAATCATACAATAAAAGGATTATCCATCACAACCAGGTAGGATTTATTCCTGAGATGCAAATGCTGAACCATTTGCAAATCAAT